GATACTGAAATTAACATTTGTTTTTCCTCAATACTGGGACACAGAGTAGTATTCTCAGGTCTTATTTTCCAGTTGCAATAACATAGCTAGGTATTGACGCAGTCTATTATCTCAGCAATAATGCATATTATAATAAGTGATTATTTATTAGCAGTAAAATGTCTCTCCAGGGTTTAATTTCAAATGCCTGAAGTGAGATAACATAATCTCAATTTGGAAGTAGCTTCTGTATAGTTATTGCTTATGGAAATTTTTATTGCTTTGCAGCAGTTTAAGATCCTTAATTGGTTAGTTCTTTGAAGTGAAGACATATGTTGCCAGTATCAAGTTGGGCTGATGTGAATGAACATGCAGTATAAGAAGTCAGGCTTCTTGAAATGGTTGGTAGGTTTTAGTTCAGAAACAAAAGTGGCGATTTCTTTCATGCTTAATTATATCCTTAGATCTTGTGATATCCTGCTGCTATAGCAGTTTCTACACATGCCCCAGGATTCTACTTGCATAGAGAAATGTGGGCAGGGAGGGGTTAATCCACCCAACTCTACTCTTTCATGATTGGGGTGCACTCAAACACCAGGTCTGGGAGATGGAGCTGTGGTGAGTTTATGGTGCCAAACTTAGCTGATCCAGTTAGAGCAGTCTGTCCTGAAAGATTTCTTCTTCAGACTTGACAGGCTGCTGCAAATTCTGTGTTAACAAGGCAAGTTTCCAGTTCAAAAATTCAGAGAGGAGCTTAAGAATGCAGGAATAAGATAATATAGTAAAATGATGCAGATCTGGAACTCGTGAGTCACAGGTGTGGCTTGAAAAAAAGCATAAGATAACAATCTATTTACTGGTTCAAGTGTGTAAGATCTGGGCCCAAGAGCAAGGCTTACTTAATATTGGGAACTCCAAAACTGATACCTAAAGGTTTCCTACATTCTTCCTAACTAGAAATAGAATTGATCATAGGGCCTCCCTGGTGGCGCAGGGGTTGAGCGCTGGGTTGCGAAGCTGTCTGCAGCCTCTGCAGCGCCGGTTTGATCCCCGGCCACCGTGTGAGGGTCCCACATGGCGCGCAGACCTCTCCTGCCGCCCACTGCTCCCCTCAGCAGTGTACTTTGGTTCTTCTGCCTGCTCTGCTCCCCGCTCTGGCTCTGGTGAATTCTCTCACCCTCCCGCGCTTCTGACTGTACCCCGTGCTTGTATAAATAAATAAAAAAATAAATCTTTAAAAAAAAAAAAAAAAAAAAAAGAATTGATCATAGAGTCCAGGGCATAGCTGAGTCACCAGATCTTCACTAAATGACCCATGGTAGAACATAAGGGCTTTAAAAGCAAGGAAGTGCTTGGTTACTACACCCTTCCTTATTCTAAGGACTTTTTCCTGTGGACTTCTTTATCCCTTCTCAGGATTCTTAATCTTGGAGATTGCCCAAAATCTACAGATGGCTTTTTTCTTGATGACCAGGTATCTTTCTTGTGACCCCAAAGAGATGCTGAGCAGAGCTGGAGCAGGACCCAGGTGTCTTCTTCCTGGCATGGCTGCTGATGTGCCTTGGTCTTACAGATGGCCCAGGGCCCTGGGTTTTTCCTCTCTGAGCCTCCTTTAAATGTGCTGACAGAGGACTGAGTAATGGCTGGAAGTGTCCACGACTGAACTAAAATCTTCATGCTTCCAAAACACTAAAATTAATTTCCTTAATGGAACTGCTGGCTAGGGTAACAACCATCTATAGAATTCTTACTTATACTTCCATCCAAAGCTTTTTTATTTTTACCCAAAATTCCAGGTTTCGGTAGATGACTTAATAATTTGGAAAGGGAATGAGCCATCAGGTGACAGTGCTCAATTCAGTTCTAACCATGCAGCAAGCCTTGTGCTGTCTATGTCCACACAAGTCTATGTCTTAGACTTCTCCCTTCAGGAATACTCCTAGCTAACACATTTTTGGTCAGCCTCCTTAGTGAAGAATATCAGGATGGTGTCTTGAAAAGAAAAGGTAAAGGCAAGCTAAAAGAACCTGAGACTTGGCAATTGGGCACATGCAACCCTGCAAGTAAAGAGAGATCCAGCCAAAGAGCAAACAGGGCTTTCAGATTACAGACCCAAAGTGTAGGCACTCAAGAGGAGTCCAGTGTAGGGGGAAAGGATGCTATTTATATTTTCCCAAACCCAAAATGAAATTTGTTGGGTTTTTTTAATTTAAATTTTATTTTTATATTCCCCATACAATTACAACCCTCTTATTTTGACCCCAAGCCCTCCTTTCCCCGCCCCCCACCCCCATAGAGTGTCTCTGGTTCATAGTTGTTTGTTGATTTTGATATTTTCTTTCTTATAGTTATTCTTTTTCCTGGTCCCTTATTTAAGTTTTCTAGATTCCTGCTATGAGTGAGACCATCCGGTATTTTTCTTTTTCTTTCTGACTTATTTTGCTGAGCATGATCCCTTCCAGCTCCATCCATGTTGCTGCAAATTGCATGTGTTTATCTTTTTTGATTGCTGAGTAATATTCCATGGTATATATGTACCACATCTTCTTGATCCAGTCATCTGTTTTTGGGCATTTAGGTTGTCCAAAATGAAATTTGAATTTGTCTATTGACTACCCATTAATTCATCCACCTGATATTTATTACAACCTATGATGTGTCCTGGTGCTGTATTAGAGGTGAGTCAAGCCCAAATTCTGCCAGCAAAGCCAGGTCTTCTAAACAGAAGTCAGAATGGGATGAAATAAAATTTATAGGCACTTTCCTATTGAGGCTTTAAATTAATCCTCAGAACAACCCTGTAGTTACCATTTTCAGTTCTGAAAAAAGCAAAGAAAGCACATTTCATGGTAGTAGTATACAGAGGGATAAATCCAGAGTGAAGATGATCATCTGTGGGCCCATCCTTGAAGTATACCCTTGGGTCTCTGCTTGTTGACCTGTAAAATGAATAATTATAGCTACCTTGGAGGATAGTTGTAAGGAAGGAATTGCATTAAATGGCAAAAATGAAAGTCCTGACCAAAGGGTTTAACACCTGGCAAGGATGCAGGCCTGACTGGGATAATAAACAACAATGCCTGAGAAAAACTGGCATAGGATAACCTAGCTGCAGGGAACATGCCTCAGAAATCCAGAGTTCAGCCATTCAGAGCATTCTGGAAAACCAAGTCAGGAGTGAGTGAAAAGCAAGAGATTAGTCATGAACACAAAGCAGAAGCCCAATCACTTGACCTGAAATGTGAGGTTAATGTGAGACTGGTCAGATGACATGAACATTACTGCATTTCAGCAGGGCCTATAGCATCAGTGCTGACAAGAAGGAAGTCGCTGTCAGAATTCATTACTCTCATATTTCCATCTCCAGGAGTTATGGCACTCAGTTCTTTCTCCTATGACTCGGCAACTATTCAGTTGTTTCCACCTGTCTCCAGCCTTGTTTCTCAGATACCAGGAACTGAACCTCATGTCTCTGATGTTGTCTTCTCCTAAGCAATGTCAGCTGGGGGTATGCTAAGCTCATTCGATGCTAAGTTATAAAAAGCCCAAGGTCCTTTGAACTCTCCCATGAGCTGCCATGCCCATGAGAGTCTACGAGTAGGAGAAGTCACCCCAGCTGAGGAAGGAGTGTCTGAAGACACAGAGTGCCAGGCCCTACCTTCATGCATCCCTTGACCTGTGTAGAGAATGGCTGGGCTCAGTCTTAGTCCAGTCTTTTTTTTTTTTTTTCCTCTCATATTAAACATGTACACTCACGATCTAGAGTAATGGTATTTAGACCTTTTTGCCACATAGGACAAACTCTTCTTGATCTTGGCTTCTGAATATGACTGTTTGCTTCTCATGAGTGAGGAAAGATGACTCCAGCCTAGAGCTTAAAAATAGAACTTTCTGACTCCAGTTTACTGATTATACTATAAATGAAGAGCAGGGGAGAAGGTTTGCTTTGTTTCTACATAATTAATGCAATAGGACCTGGATTGCATTACAGAATTACCACTTTTCTCTCAGTTTGAACTCCTACCCAAATCCATTCTGGGAAATTGTTTTCCTTATGCAAACCAAGTTGTGTGCTAATTTTGTCACTAAACCCATGTCCACAAACTAACAGCAGAAAAGGTTTTTAGATATTGAATCAGAAAAGAAGTAAAAGGATGGAAAGGTACCTGTCAATAGGAGAGTATTTGAATATGTGACACAGGGGTAGAAATTATTAAAATGTCATAAAGAATTCACTTCATTTAGAATACCATTTGCTATATCTCTGAATTCAAATTCACCATTCCCACAAAGCTTGGCTAAAATCTTTCCCTGATCATCTGTCATTAATAATTTTTCCATTTTCAGAATTCTTACAATAGCCACTTTTATGTTTCTCTCTTACACTCATTGAATTTACTTAATTGTAATCTATTTTTCTAGAAATAGAGTTAGATATAGTACAAATGGAAATATATTTCATTATTTCTTCTATAATGGTTATAAATAGCCACAATTTTTTATTTTGTTATTGAAATGAATAAAACATACAATTTCACATAACAACATATTCTTTATATAGTACTGCTTCCAGGTTATGCTTGGATACCTATACATTCTATTACTTTATAAACATATTAACAAAAAGGGGGAAAAAGTATGGTACATGCATAATGACTTCTTATGCTGTGTTACTGAAAGTATTCCTGACTTCAGAAAATTGATTTTAACCAGGCACTGCTGAGAACTAAATCCTCTGTTTACAGTTTTAAATAACTAATTAGAAGAGATTTCTGCACATAGCTTCTGGCTCCATAGGCTTCAAATCTGTATCTTCTCCACTACCCAACTCCTTTCTGCACTGAGTGCCATAAGGCATGATATGTGTTTTATCTTAACTTTAATGATATCATTTTTGAAAAGGAGTTTAATATTTTAAAGGAATCAAATTTATTCTTTCCTTAATTACTTTTGTATATTGTTGAAGAACTCTCTCCATTGAGGTCTTAAGAATTTTTTCATACTGTCTTTTAAATTTTTAGAATGCTGCTCTATACATTTTCATCTTTAATCCAGTCTGGTGAATAAGGTAAGAATTACATTTTATCCTTTTCCATATGGATAACTAATTTCTCTGCTACCATTTTATTACCTCAGTGTTCAGTAATGCAACTCCTGAGCAAATCTTAAATTTCCTTGTGTTCATGGGACTGAAAACTATTCTATTCCACCGGGCACCACATCTATCTCTGTGCCAAAATTAGATTGTTTTAATCACTACAATTTTACAAAAAGTGTTGATCTCTTTGCCACATTGCTTTTCTTTAAGAATTTCATAATAATATGAATATTAAGGACATTTGTTAAATTCTATATAAAACTGTGATTATATTCAAAGTGGAACTGGATTTCAAATTGAATTTATAAATTAGTTGGGGAGAATTGCTATCTTTATTATAGTGAACCTTACTATCTTTATTATAGCAATTCTAGAGATAGAATTGCTATCTTTATTATAGTGAACCTTACAATCTAAAAACATGGCACTTATCCACCACTTTTCTATCTATTTGATATTTCTGTTACTTTAATAATTATTTGTTTTTTATCTTATTCATATTTTTGGATTTTTCCTTTGGTAAATTATAGTTTTTGTTGTCGCTGCAAAAAGTATGTATTTAATTGCTTTTCTAATGCTTCTTACCACTGCTGCTAATTATGCTGAGCTTGTATTCAAAAATCGAGACCAATTTTCAAATAAGCTTTAGAATCTCATTTTGGTTCATTAGAGTAATAATATTATCTCTTAGGTTGGATATATATATGATTATGCCTCATGTCTTTCTTTCCAATTCTTGTACTTCTTACATTGTTATTAGATTGTCTAGAACCTCAAATACATTGTTGAATAGAAGTGGTGACATGAAATAGCTTTAGCTTGTTCCTAACTTTAAAGCTTCAAAGTCTTATCAATAAGCATGATTACTGTAGTTTTTGAATATTAGAAGGAAATTTCTTTCTAATCTATTTTGCTAAGATATTTAATAATCATGATGAATGGTGATTTTTTTTTTTTATCAAAAGCTATTGCTGGAATTCTCAGATCATCATAAAGCTTTTCTTCACCTCTTAGTATGTTTTTCTATTTTTAATTTTTTTCTTTTTTTATTAAATTTAATTGTTTATTTTCTTACACAATTGTTCACTTCTGTACATTATTGTATTTCTTCCCTCAGGTATAGTCTCCGTTGTTCTCCCACCACCTTCGCACCCATGATCCATCACCATAGTCCCGTGTGTTTTGATCCCTTTCCTTTCCCTCTCCCTGTTGTATGCCTCAGATCCATGGTCAGCTTGCAAGTTTTGTCTTTTTCCTGACCCTCTGCTTAGTTTCTCTATGTTCCACATATAAGTGAAATCATCTGATGTTTATCTTTTTTCTTCTGACTCATTTTGCTTAGCATAATCCCTTCCAGCTCCAACCATGTTGCCACAAATGGCATGAGTTTATCTTTTTTGATAGCTGAGTAGTATTAATTGTGTATATATCACATCTTCTTGATCCACTCATCTATTTTGGAACATTTGGATTGTTTCTATATCTTAGCTATTATAAATAGTACTACAAGAAACATGGGGGTGCAGGTTTCCTTTTGAATTTGTGTTTTTGTGTGAATTCTTTAATTTTTTAATCCTGGAAAACTAATTTGGGTCTCTCCAGACCAAACATTGCTAGTATGTTTATAGTATAGTAACATATATCTGTTCTATTCTGTGTAATATAATTCTACAGTAAAATAACACCCTTCAGCATCCCCTACTTGCTTTAGTTTGCCATGTAACAATCATTATAACAATGTTCTACATAATAGTGATCACTATGCAATCTACTTGTCTATCTTTTTTCTCTAAAATATCAACTCCATATGGTGGAAGGTAAGTCGTTTTTAACCATTACCGTATCATTAGAACATTTCTTTGCATATAGTAGTTACTTAAGTACTTGTTAAGGGTAAGGTAAGCTTATACATTTTGATTTGTTCTAAATCTTAATTTGAGTTAAATTTAAATGACACATTCAATAAAATATGTAAAAAAGGGGAGCATTGTAGGTATTTGTGGGCCTGGGTGGATCACAAAGATTGAGAACTAGAGCATGTGACTAAAGAAGCTGGGACAAATTTGGCAATGCTACAAGTCAGAGGATTCAAAGAGTGCACTCTCTGGTCACTGTCTAGGTCAACTGTGGAAAGACAGGGGAGGTAACCAAATGTTCGAGAGTTTACTAACCAAATGCTTGTTGAGATACAAGCAATTAAATAATTTGGTAGATGATTGTTCTGATGGAAACACAGCCCCTTTGACACCCCAATTACATTCAAATACGTTAATATGGTAGACAAAGTCCTTCACATTCTGGTATGGACTTCGAATCACTACTATTCCTATTCCATTCTTACTCTACTCCCTGTGCCATCCTTTGTCTAGATCTTCTTGCTTCTCACAGGCTTTGGCCTGTTCCCTTCCTCCTGCAGAGAGTTTTCATCTTTTCAAGTTTACTCCCCCTAAAGTCTCTTGCCTATCTCCTACTTTCCATTCAGGTGTTAGCTCAACATGTACATTCATGGAAGGTGCTTTCTGCTCCCCAGTTTAATGCCTTTAAATGCCTCCCAAGGTATAATGCCTTTCTTGTGTGTTCCCATGGCACCCCCTTGCTTCTATGTAGCATTTATTATATAGTTTTGAAATTGCCACTTTTCATGGCTTTTCACGTAGCATGACCCTCAAAGACAGTGACTGAGTTATGTTCACAAATATATTCCAGCACCTAGCATAATAACTGCCATAGACAGGTGCTCAGTAAATGGTTAATGAATAAATAATGAGTATACAAATAATGAATGAATGAATGTGAACAGGTCCAAGAAGGTCACTGAGCCACAGGCAACTAAGACGACGTATTTCTGTAGTTAGCCAAAGTCTCAAGCCCATCGAAGAAGAGTATTATTTAGTTCAGGAGTCAAGGGAGATTTAGAGGAGACTGAGGAGCCCTGGTATCACAGCTGATTTGTTGAGCAAGGTCAAGTCAAAATACAGGTTAAGTTTATAGCAGGCTAAAACCATCAAGCCAGAGTTGGTATAAGGAAATTTCAGCCTTCCCTTTCTGATGCTTTTCCCAGCCCTTGCCACAGCAGTTCCTCATTTAACTGATTCCAGACCAAATTCTCTCATATTATTTTTCCTTTCAATACCACCAGTTTTCTAGACATCTTATCTGTGTAACCTTAGGCACTGACTGATGAGGAAGAAGGCATGGATATTTTAACTGCAGGGTGTTCTAAGAAACTCAGGAATTAAGCCCCACAAGCAACTACTCACTCCTCTACCAATTAGGTGGGCATGGGCTTCATCAATTGGAGAATCAGAAAACCTTCTGGGAGGACACACAGTCCGTTTAAAGAGGCAGTGAGGAGTTAAACAGAGAAATATCAGCTAGGATTTCAGTGGGTTGGGTCTGATCTTTAATGATGCACAGTCATATATATTACTTTCCACCAAATTGAAATCTATTATTTCTCTTTTGAGTCAGCTATACTGTGGGCTTTGTTCCGGATAATGGAAAGAAAACATTGAGATTATATCTTTTCAATTCTACATCTTCAGAAATCTATATTGATACTTTAATAAAGGAACTCATTTCTCCAAGAACTCCTCTGTTACAAAAGTGTGTTTGGGTAGAGCCTAATGCATTCATAATAAATACATATAGTCATAAAACAGAGCAAGAGTCCTCAGAGCCTGTTATTTACAGTAATTGTAGATTGTAAGTGGACATTTTAAAGAGAAGCTTATAAGCGAGTTGTACTTTCTGATGGTAATTACCTCCCACAAACATGACTCACTTCGGCAGTTTAAATGCAAGAGTTGGGTGTCCCAAAATCAGTCTTATAAATAAATCTCTGAATCATGAACTAAATACATAAATGTTTAGATATTTCTCCCCAATCTCAAAGAGAGTTTTAAATTTAAGATTTTATGCATTAAAATGCCTTGGAGAAAAAAAAATGTAAAGGCAAAGATTAACGAAGTCTCTGAATACTGGGGTGAAGCTTTCTGCACATTGAAAAGTCACTATCTTCTTAGAAGAACTGAAACTCCAGCAACCACAGTGTTAAGTGCATGTTTTCTTCAATCCAGGAGGAGAGGCTGCTATTTGTTCTAATGCAGCCCTTTGTTTTGTTTTTTAAATAATACTCGCAGGGCAGACTTTTATGGTAAAACAGCAACATTAGTACTTTTGGGTGGGACTGCCTGGAGTCTTGTGGGTAACAGAACATTTTACTGAAGAAATGTGGCTATGACAGCTAGGAATGCTGAAGAATAAAGAATCCATGCCAGAAGAAGGCATTTTCTTTTCTTGTATGCTCAAAAACATTGTGTATCTCAGTGAGCATTAACCTTCTAATCAGTGAAACTTTCTTGAACATTAAAAAGGTACACTTTGAAAGTATTGACAAATTTAAGTGTTAACGTCATCCACCTACTAGATCCTTTTTTGTGTGTGTGAAGTCCTGAAGTTTCATTTATGTCTGGTTAAAAATGGAACTGTATTAGAAGCTTCTGTTTTATTCTCATTACATTCATGTAATTCAGCATGCAGCATTAATCATTAACATGCATCTAACAGTAAAATCTATAGCTCAAAGTCTGATGACCTGTGTTTAAAATATGAATTCACATGCAATATACATATAGTTCTTTTATTCCTGTTCAATAACGCCATGTGAGAGCCAACATATCACTGAGTCCCACAGAATGTTCAAGTCAAAAGAACTGCTTTTGCTAAAACTTTTTTTCAGTGTTTTTCTGAATTTGATGTGCACTTTGTTCCTAGTTATTTTCATATCTTCAGCTGCTGTTGTTGCATTCTCATCTCTTGAAAAGATTCAGAGAAATATATGAAGTTCTTCTGTGGCCAAGGGGAAAAAATTTCTTCATAATGCTAAACTTTTCTGGTACCTGTCACTGAATACTACAAAATGGACTAATTACAATAAATAATGTTGAATAGCCAATGGCAATAGCATT